AAGTGGAATCTGGACAAAGTGGCGCTGGTCCTGGTTTTCTCCGAGTACTTCGGTTTCCCCTGCCAATCTTCATTCCACCAAATTCTCCATCATCATAATCACCCGGGGCAGGTACAATAGGCCTTTCAGTGACCGCCGTGCCGAGGGAACACAACTGGACTCCACCCCCCACTAAGCGAATTAAAAAAATACTCATTAAGACCAGCCCCTCTTCTCGTCGAAGAGGAGACTCGTTTCCAAACATATAAATTGTTTTATAATGAACAAAAAATTTGGTCATGTGTCCCGAAGGGGACCGAAACCAAGAACAAATATGCTGGCGAGGACCAGCAGAAATTTAGTGAACCTGAAATCTCATATGACTTAAACATCTTCTCGTTTCAGTTTCAGTTTGCGTTTAGTGCAGATACCTTTATCCCTGTATGAGAATATTTCATTGTGTTATCCAGATCATTAGCTAGGAATTCGTATTACGTGTGTACAGTACACTGTACTGAGTAATACGCAGTTTTCATTTTACTTCTTCTGTCTTTGTCTTTAATTTTGCTAGAAATCCATTACTTTTTCTGAAAATATTCTTTCAATTGAACTTAACCCCTTTATACTTCCAGTAGGAACGCTTCTTCTCAAGCATTTGGTAATGAACTGTTGGGGCTAGTGCATTAAATTCCAGCGTGTACAATTATGTATCCCTTCACAGCTCATGATAGTGTTTCTCAGTGTTTGAATCCTTTTTTTTTTTTTTTGTCAGAGCAGTGTGATCGCAAAATTTCCGACGGAGTGAAAATACTTTCAGGAAGTCAGTCACGGCCGAATTTATGAGAAAGTGACAGGGGTAATCGCCCCGGGGTCTCTACACAACAGATATAAATCCACAGATTTTTATCGAGATTTTTACTTCTCTAAAATCGCGTAGAGTTAGTGATGAAAAAAATAATTTTCTTTCAATCAGATATAATGGTTAGATTGTAATGATCCGTTTTTCTGGAAAGAGGCAGTAACATTCGGTCTACATAACATGTAATGGCGATATTATTATGTAACTTTCTTCAGGAATTAAAATGTTACATTTGTTACACTCCGGATGTAGAGTCACTGCCATGACTTGTGCTTCTGGAATTATGCTGTGAACGTTCCTGAACTACAGATGCATCACTTTTGTAATTCTGTAACCTTAACTCGGTCTTCTGGAATTAGGTAGTGGAATTTCTTTCGCGCCAGATATAATGATTATATAATCATGATTTTAACACCAAATCCCCTTTCGTGAAAAACGAGATACCTAGTGTGAAGGTTGGATTATAATTGAGGTAGAGGCTCTACATACTCGTACCGCGTACGTTTTTAACTCTAATGGCATATCAGTGTACATTCATCTCCTTGCAGACCGAGTTGAGAAGACAACTTCAATAGAGAAAAAGACGATGGATATTGAGGAAAGGGGAGTAAAGCTTCGCCTTACGGTTGTAGACACGCCTGGTAAGTATTCGCAGACATTGCTATGGTAAAAATATTTCCTACTTTGACAGTCGTAAAATGTAATACTCCGTGGCATGTAGTCCGCAAGCGAAATATACCGACCGGCGAAGTTAGTGCCAACTTTTGCGGTTAGAGGGTGTCGCGTCATCAGCGCAACGGATCCCCACGGCCGTTAATTTCGATTTTCTAGACCAGAGCCGCTATTTCCTTGAAATAGTTCCTCAATTATCCTCACGATGCTGAGTGGACCTAGTTCCAGACTCACTACTTCTCAGAAAATGTGGTAGCGCCGGGACTCACACCCGGGACCTCTGGATCTGTAGCAAGAACCTCTGACCACTAACCCACAGAGGCGGTCACGCAGAAAGAAAATACCAGTTAATATTTATTCAGGTGACTTGTCGAATTTTTATGTAAATAAATCGTAAATTATAGGTGGTTATCAACGTTTCGTGTCAAACTACTACCGCCATTTTCAGGCAGCCGTTGACAGTCCACGAGACTGCTTGGTGCCGTAACCGCGTAGACCACAACCTACATTTTCACTGCAGTGAAAATCTCAGATGAAGTCAGTGAAAGAAGAAATTTCTGATGGGATTTTAAAAATAAATTTAAAAATTAGAAGCAGTAATGTATATTTAAAGACTTAGTTTTTACGTAATTTCTTAAGTTTACGCGAAATGTGATATTCTGATCGGCAACTCTAGTACCGTCAACTTTACGTTTCATAAAATTAAACTAAGAAAAGCACTTTTGGAACGNACCATAGTAATTTTTAATTGTCCCATAATTCTCCTTTAAAATGATTTCTGCTTAGTGTGGTAATAAAATTCAGCGGAATAATATCAATATCTAGACACTTTCGAAATCTTTAGGTGTTGTACGTTTGAGTCTTTCAGGAAGCGATCGAATGAAAACAATAATTTATTGTGTCTACACGCAGGTTTCGGGGACGCAATAAACTGTGACGAAAGCTGGAGGGCCTGCTGCTCATACATCGATGAACAGTTTCGCCAGTATTTCACGGACGAGAGCGGACTGAACCGCAAAAACATCCAGGACAATCGCGTTCACTGCTGCCTATATTTTGTGCCTCCCTATGGCCATGGGTATGTGCAAACATTGAGACGTGAATCAAGCAAATTGGCACCGTACTTTAGCTCTGACTATCAATATTCATCTTTTTCAAGTGGACAACACAAGGTAGTTTCTTTTCTATGCTTTACCAAACACTTCCCCCCAGCGGTAAAGCTTTGTCTGATCGATATCATTGACTGTGGGTGATAACCAAACAGAACCAAAAAATGAAGCAAATCATGTGTGATACATATATGTTCCGTCTGCGTAAGATTGATAAGGGCTGTACTGTGTAATACAGTGTCTCAAAATACGTGTACATGCGCACAAAAATTCTGTATATTATCTCTTGTGTGTCTCATCTGAGCTACATATGTTTTCCTTATCACTATGAGTGAGGTATCAGCAAGTTCACTTTCTGAAGTTCTTGCAGTAGTGGCCGTGAGTAGTACTATCTTATGGGTTGTGACGTCATGTGATCCTGTATAAATCTACTGACCTTCCTCCAAAATGTTGTACTCCCCAGATACCCACTGGTTTGTTTGTACTGTTGCAGGCTGCGCCAGATTGACTTGGAGTTCATGAGGCGCATGCACAGAAAAGTGAACATCGTGCCCGTAATATCCAAAGCTGACACCCTCACATCTGCAGAGATAAAGCGTCTCAAGGACCGAATTATGGCTGATATCGAAGATCATAAAATTCAGGTCTACATAAGAACTTTCTTTGGAAAAGAATATACGTGTTTCTGCAGAGCCTTAGCATCAGAAATCTGGCTTTCTCTCTTTCTGTCCCTTGGTTCAGTGACGTTGACACATTGTAACTATTAGTGTCTATATAATCGATTATCACGAAGTTCAGCTCATGTCATTGGAGGCATCCTCTCACCTTTTAAATTGTTATCACCAAAAACAGTAATAAGGGATTTGTGATTTTTAGTGGATGCATCCTGTTGTGTGAAATATATAAATTTCTTTATTAAAATCCATCACAACACAACACAACAACAAAACAGTTGATGTCTAACAGTATTTTCCTATATGTTTCCACTTGTTAGAAAGCCATCATCAAGAAAATACACAATTAACGTGTTCTTAAGCTATTGAATTTCATGCACTGCTTTCTAAAAACCGAAACATGTAGCAAAATACTGTTAAACATCAACTGTTTTGTTATTGTGTTGTGATGGATTTTAATAAAGATTTGATTTTGACAGGGCCAATGGGAATGGATGTGTTGACTTCCCAAGTCCCTTCTGCTTCCATATAATCCCACATTGCTCATGTTTTACTGCTATCTGCTTCATGCTGATTTTTTGCTTGCCTCACTCTTCAACCCTGAAAACAGAGGCTACATGTTCCCACAAAACATTCATTGGTTTTCAAGGGACTACATGGTATTATATCCTAGGAGACTGAACTCTTCTAACAGAACTGTGTCTCAAATTGCAGTACACCTTTTTCTGCAAGAGTGTGCTAGTTAACAGTTGTACCTAAGTTAATAACTGAATTAATTTCAATTGTTTATTTATTTATGTACTTACTCAACAGCCCAGAGGTCAGTTTAAGTAAGCACAAGCTAAAGAAGGAAACAAAACAAACATACAGCCACAAACAAAAATAAAAACAAAGCAACCTGTGTAATTTAGACAATATAACAATTCAATAAGGACAATTATGCCGACCATTATGCAGGGAGAAAGAAATACACACATGTTCATACAAAAAACAACAACAACAACAACAACGATAATGGTTGTTTGCAGATTTACCAGTTCCCCGATTGTGACAGTGATGAGGACGAAGAATTCAAACAGCAGGACCGCGAACTCAAGGCATGTGTACCCTTTGCTGTAGTGGGCAGCAACACAGTCATTGAAGTTTCAGGCAAGAAGGTGAGGGGGCGACAGTATCCATGGGGTGTTGTTGAAGGTGAGTTTCATCTAAAATTTACTGTGTTCCCAATCATAAAGTGCAATGTGGTATAAGCATAAAAATCACTGTGCCTAAGCTGCATTGAAGGCATAAATGTAGAGCTACATGGATTCTAAACTTTGGGATCAGATGCTAGCAAGTGGCTGACTTAAATGCTCAAACATTTTTATACCCAGAAATGGAGCCCTTATTATATATTGGGTTGGAAGCTAAGATTGGGCAGAACTGTTCTGAACTGTTGTGACAAAGGTAAAAGTTAGAGCATATGTGCATAGCATAACCCTTTGTGTGTTCGCTTCTTTTGTGTAATTATCTTGTAAACAGTAAGAATAATGGTAAGTGTGTTTTTGGCATAAAAGTGTTCTTAATTTTTCTCTACACCTTCTGTTCATGATATTTTTCTTCAACAAATAATTACTAAGTTACACCTTGAGATTCAGGGCCGCGCCATAGCTCAAGCGGTTAGTCGCTGGCTTCCCACCGTGGCGGCCCGGGTTCGATCCCGGGTCTGGTCAAGTGGTATTTGTGGAGGACAAAGTGGCGCTGGGGCAGGTTTTCTCCGAGTACTTCGGTTTCCCCTGCCAATCTTCATTCCACCAATTGCTCCACAATCACCCTCACCTATCACCTGGAGCTGGTACAATCGGCCAGAAGTGGCCGCAGTACAAGGGACTTAGCCCCACCCCACTAGCATTAGAAAAAAAAATTTCACCTTGAGATGCATCCAGAAATACATGTAGGTCTTTATGTAAATTGTGTGGTGGTGGTGGTGGTGGGGGTGGTGGCGGCAGCGGCGGTGGTAGTTGATTCCTTGCAATACACAAAAAATTGCACGTCGTTCAACGGATTTGGAATTTTTTCCTTCTATCATGCAAGATACCGGCTACCTGTAGAGCCTAGCTTTAATATGACTCACTGACTGATTCTGATGTTATTTAATCATGTTGTTAAAGTTGTAAAGATTATGTAGTATTGAATGTTATAGGAAGATAAATGTCAAGCAAGTAAGTGTTTAGAAGGAGACAGTCATGGTGAGGCACCTATCTCACCATGTACCAGGAGGGAGTGAGGGAAATCCAAAAGATCTTGTCATTCAAGGGAGATTCAAAATGAATACCTGCTGAAAACAAATCTAGAATGTTACCAATTCACCATGTTACAGTGTGGTTTAGTCTTTATCTACAGCTTTCATGAATGTAGTCAGATATCTGTTCACTCACTTGCCTGTGGTATTTTTGTTTTGTTTGTTTTTCTGCAGTGGAAAACCCCAAGCATAGTGATTTCATCAAACTAAGGACAATGCTCATCTCTACACACATGCAGGACCTGAAGGATGTCACACAAGATGTTCATTATGAGAATTTTCGGGCACAGTGCATCTCTCAGATCTCACAACAAGCCATTCGTGAAAGAAGGTAATGGATTGTGGAGGTACCTATTAGACACAGCTGACGCTACTAAATAATTTAGCAGTTTGTAGTAGTTGGAAGGAGGTATAATAATTTTGGCAGTCTCTTATTGTTAGAAGTATCATATGTAACCAATGTAATATTGTAATATTTTACTGAAGGTATATATTTGTTACCAAACGAACTTATGTGTACATTTTCCAGTGCCACCAAAAGAAGGGGTAGTTTATAACAGTAGTTAGATAAAATTTATCTTGCAGCAGAAAGTGCTAGGAAGAATTACTGATGTCTACATAATTGCGCATTCTTCAAAGTTCACATTTCTATGAGTCTGCAAGCTTCATTTCGAGAACAACTCATTAGATGCCCATGAACTCGAATACTGGGGAACAGCTGTGAAGACAGCAGGCTGGAAAAGGCTTTTGTAAAGTGTAAAGATTAGCGATAATGCTGTAATGACTTTCAGAAGTGTGTCAACAAATCCAATATCCAATCCAAACCCCGCCTATAGTCACATACCTAAGTATGTGACAATATGACAACACGTACACCCACACACACACACATGTGCATGTGTACACAATATTCATTCCAGGTCATATGACAGGAAAAAAAGAAAAGGTTAATAAAGAGAGCTGTTGAATAATGGAGTTCATCTTATATCAGAGAGACATCCTGTGCAAGATATACGTATATTCATTCATTCATCAGTAATCTGTCAAGACGACAGGTCCACAGTCTCTTCCAAAACAGTTCCTCCACGTAATGTGATCTAGACCTCTCTCCTTCAAATGAAAATATCCTCTTCTGTTCCCAAGGTCATCCAGCATCTTCTTACGTCTTCTTCATCTTCTGGTTACTTCTATCTGCCCCTCTATCTTTCCTTCAGTAACTTCTTTTAGAAGGCAGTTACTGTGTAAGATATGACCAATCCAATTAGCCTTCCGTTTTCTTATTTTGTGTAGGATATTCCTCTGCTCACTGACTCTAAATAACACTTCTTCATTTTTCACACAATCGGTCCGACTGATCTTCTCCATCCTTCTCCAACACCACATTTCGAAGCTTTCCAGGTGTTTCTGATCTACTGCCCTAAGTGTCCAAGTTTCAGCCCCATACAAAGCCATGCTCCAAATGTAGCATTTCACTAGTTTCTTTCTCAAATATATATACAGCATTAAAATTAAAATTATGAAAATCCTACAGGTCTTATGGACTGTTCTTTTCTATGGGGCACCCACATTAAGCCAAATTCTTGAGTGGGATAAGAAAGAAAATGTCCTTGATTGATAGTAGGGTATTCCTGCTATGAAAGTGAGTTCCAAGTGAAACACAAGCTATGTTTACATCATGGAAGAAGCGCTAGTAGCTTCACTAACACTTGTCGATCTTCATTTTCTGCAAATATTTGTCCAGTTATAACAGATCACTTGAAGTAATTAAGGCAAGCAATTAATGAAACTATTTAGTGCTCAGAACTTCCAAAGTGGCCAGACATGCAAAGGAACTGAAGTACAGAATGCACTATGTTCTTCACTACAGTTTCCAGTGTAGATTTGGTGATTAGATTTATTGGATACTCACAAGTCATAACTACAAGTAATTACAACATCCTAAAAATTACTGTAACATAACACATAAAATAGGGTCTTCAAAATCACATGTTAAGTCATCACAGGCTGTTTTCTAAATCTTCTTCAACAATTCTCTTGATGCTCACAGCTCCTAGTTCCAATTCTCTCTGTATTTCATACAGCTCATAGCTCTCGTTATATAGCCATGGCATGGACTACATAGAGAGCCTCTTCTATTATTGTAGAGACATATCATCACACAATTGCCTAGCAAACAGTCTTGGCACATATTGTTATAGCAATGGGTTTCCTATTGTTGTCACAGGCTTAAGGGGGCAGGTGTTTACCGGCCATTGCATAGAAATAGCAGTTCTTCTATTGTGCCTGCAAATTCATTGCCACGAGAATGTGTTTAGCAACCCATTGCCTATCAGTATGTCACAATATTCTGCTGCTTAGCAGGGTGTAAGCTTTCATATTGTAGTGTTTAAATACCTTCTCTTCTCACTACAAAGCAGGCACTGGAATTGTTAGGTATTCAGTTGTTTAATAAATGTATTATTATTATATAACGCAAGTATTCAATTTTATTTTAGCTTATTCAGTGATAGATTTTCAAACACAATAGGTTATACAATGTTAATGGATGTTAATCGTGATGGATGAGTTGGGAAGAATGTGAAAGTAAATGACTGAGGTCCATTGTAAGATACTATCCAAACATTTGCCTAGAGGATCTGAGAAAAACCATAGAATCCTAAGTCAGGATAAATGATCTTCAGGGAGAAAATCAAATCCGGGAGTGCTATCCACTCAGCTACAAAATTTGATCTCAGTGTTGTCATCAGAATATAACTGAAATATACCTTCAAAACATAGGGTCCTTGAGCAGTAGATAGGTGTTTAGCCATTCACATCTCCATGGGTTAGTGTAATTGGAGGGATGGTTACTGTATGAAAGCTTGCAATTTAAACCTATCTTGAGTCTAGTTCAGTGCAGTTCACACTTTCAAATATTATTTCTCTAAGCTGTATTGTAATATTATCCTCCCATCTTTGATTAGATCTCCTAAATGGTTTCTCCCCTGTGTTTTACCAACATAAATTTTCAATAAACAGTGAATGGACAAGAATGATTCCAAAACTGTGACATTGTGTTGGTATCAGGCATGTAATATCAATGAGAGAAATAAATAACAAAATTTATTTCCTGCTGTCCTGCTGAAAAGGAGGTACCCCTTTAGTTTATTGATACTATTGTCATATGTCTGAGTATGATGGAGTTATTAAACTAATGAGAAGTATTATATTTTTCTTAAATTCTTAGTACAATTGTATTTCTTTGTTTTACTATGTTTTTCACTACTGAGGAAACTGAAGTCAAATATGGAAAAATTTTTGTTTGAGTAAATTATAATTGTCCATGACAAAATTGTTACTATGACTTACTGAGAATTTGACATGTACCTTTGGAAATCACGAAAGTATAACTTCATAATCAAAGCAAATTTTGGGGTTATGCTAATAGAAATTCTTGTTGGAACCTGTCTGTTTTGGTTGCAGCAAATTGAAGCGAGATTCAGGGCCTCAGTTTGAATCCAGCATCACAGATACAGACAGGTTACTGTTGCAGAAAGACGAGGAAGTAAGTAACTGTGAGAATCTTCTATTGCAAGTATTCATAAAATATCGGAAGCAAATAACAAACTATTAAGCTTTGGTTCAGGTGCTCTTATTATCCCCATGTCTATGCACCATGTTGTGGAAGTGTATGAGAATGTGACATATAGCTCAGTGTATTCCTTTCCTCAGTACCAGATAAAAGTATGTTAGTACGTTCAAAATCTGGCCACATTTATGTTCAAACTCAAAGTATCATGTGCAATAGCAGACCTCATTTGAAGAACAGCAGTTTTAAAGAGTTGAACTCAGACTTGAAGGGGATTTCAATGAAACTTAGATATCATAATAATATCGTCAATATTTTATGAATCTTTGATGTTCAACGAAACAATGTAGATGTTAATGTCATATCAAATGTTATGGTTCCACCGTCTCATGTGCAACCCATCTTTCTATAACACTTATTCACTTTAAAGGTTTTGCACAATATGTCAGTTTTAACCTGTTGTAAGTTTTTCGCTAAATGTTTCGACCAATATGGTCATCATCTGATGTTTAGAATTATAGTTGAGGGAAGTGCTGTGCTCCTCTTATCACGGCCTTGGTTATTAATTTTTGGTGTATGGCCCCGTGTATGTGCATGTGTATTCCAAGTGACGGGTTCTACCTATTGTTTTGGGCTTTGTGTCTTTTTTTTACAAATGCATATCACAACAGGAAGAACGTCCTGTCACTTGGAATACACAAACACATAGAGGGAACCATACACTAAAAATGAATTACTGTTGCCACGATGACAGAAACACAGCGGTTTCCTCAGCTGTGATTTTAAACACCTGATGATGACCATATTGGTAGAATCTTTTAGTGAAAAAAGATTAAAAAGGTTTTAAAAGGTTAAAAGTTATAAGATGTGCACAATTTTAAAGTGAATAACCGTTTAATAAGTTTTATAGAAATATATTTTGCATATGAGGCAGTGGAACCAGTATTTGATATTAAGTGATGTATAGCAGGATGCTATAATATGATATTAATGTTGTGTATGTGTTCTCTCTTGATTCATTCTTGCACTTACTTCATTCATCAACAGTCATTAATTAGATTCATGCATCCATTTTGTTCATCCTTCCATCCTCATCTGTCATAGATCCATGTACCCAATTGCACCTTCATTAACTGAATGACTGATCCCTTCATTCAACTATTTATTCATCCTCTCATCAATCAAACCCCCATTTCATCTATTGTTCACCTACCTATCCATTTATCAATTACTTCTTTTAGTCACATAGTCTTTCATTCATCTATCTTCCCTTTCAACTCTTCACCCATTCTTCAGTCAGTCCCCTATACATTTAATCATGCATCCAAATACAAATATTTTAATTAGGCTTAGACACAGTTTTTTTGTAGAGCCTAAAGCATTTTCCTGCTAGAGTCAATTTTTCTAGCATTTTTGTCTCTGACAGTAAGGGAGGAACACAGATTCGCCGCATGCAAGACATGCTGACCCAGATGCAAGAGAAGCTGAAAGCAAAAGGTCATGGTCCAATGTTCAGGTCCCAGCTTAGCAGCCCCAAGTCTGATGGTGACAACAAGCGTGACAGCATTGTGAATGTGTAGTGATGCAAGGAAATGACACAAAACTGATAATTGAGATGTAGGTAATTATTATGGTACATCATGGTAAGGCTGACAAAGTACATGGCCTTTCACATTTCTTATAGCTCAATCATGAAGTCAGTATTACTGTTTACTGGTCGTTACATTGAGAAGTAGAAGTTTTATAACAAATACCTTCTTATTATGTGTGTTATAATGGTACAATAATGAGGCTCACAAAGTACATTGCTTTTGAAGTTTCGTACATGTCAGTCATGAAGTCAGATTGCTATTTGTCAGTCATTAGCTTGAAAAATAAGACATTGTATGAAGGATGAATAGCTTGTGGGCCTACACAACTAGAAATATCTGCCCTATTAAAATTTACAGGTTTTTGCTATTAGTAATTCAAGATACAGAATAATTATGGAATCTAAAACAATTTTAGATCTTCATATAAAATGAAACAACTGTTTCTTAGTTTATAACCAAAATTAAATTATGTGATATTATATTTCATTAAGAATCATCTGTTCGTTAAGGATGCAAATTAATAGAAGATGAAACGCTTGACCATATAACATTAGTTTTAAAGTGGAAAAATGATGTAAACTGTGATTTGTTAAAAATGTTTATGGAGTAAATGTAATAAATAAGGAAAAGACATTGTGTAACAAATGGAGAACCTAGTTCACAATAAGCTGAAGGCTGTAGTACAGGATTTGTGAAAAACTGAATACCAATTCATCACAGTTAACTACCAATCACTGTCTTAATGACAATAAAACACTTAAACTGTATCACTGAAACATTCTGTATAACTTTGGGTTCCCCCCCCCCANGACTGACATTTCACTGATACCTGTTTGACATTCATGTATGTTCAGTGTACAGATGTCATGAACAAAGTGTAATCACAGCATCATGTTGATAGGATGGAAGAGACCACAAGTAAATATTTCCCCTCTCTTCCTTACAGTCACAGACTGCTTACATTAATCAGCAGGATTTGCGATCTCCCCTTTAGGATTGCCAGTTAGCAATGGGCATAGGATGATAAATTAATACTTGCAGATCACATATGGACATTGAAATAATATAGTCCATATCCAGAAGAAATTCATGAGTATAAATGAAAAATAGCCATAGGTGAAATTATTTAGTTTTCCAAAGTTCAGTTCCATGTCTAAAGTCAACAAGTTCCCAATTGTTCATGTGAATAATAACAGAAAATCTAGTAACACAGTGGAACTTATTGGTGGATATGATTTGAACCACAATATTCAAATTAATGGAATAATAAGCTACCTGACTTTCACAGCAGTTAACTGTACTGCACTGTACTAATAAAATTTCCGTTCCTTAAAATGGCATTGCATATGGCAGTAGCCTATTAATCTGAGCTGCAATAATGGATTACCATCACCATAGTAGTTTTCCTAGTGACTGAGAACTATAATTGACTGATGCTTCAGTTTAATAAAAAACAAACCAATTTTTATTCTTGTCTGTTATGATCCTGTCATTGTTATTTTGCACCACTATGTTCTTTCCCATCAAGAACGTTGTTACTAAATTCAATTAATCATGTGACCAATTTTGCATAAACCTACTTTTTACAGTAGACAGAAGTTAACATAATGTTGTGTTTTAATATAACACAATAAAAGTTTGTTTCACTTACTTTAGTTACTTCTTGAAAATAATACTAGTAATTGTTAATAGATTGCTAAGAATTTGTCATGGTAAAAAAAGTTCATCATTTTGCTTTTATGTAACAGTCCTTTATGTAAATATTATAAATTTACAGATAATGATCTGAATTCAGTCTCACCAAACCATAAATGTGTTTGCAAGGGGTGAAGTGGGCATGGTGGCAGCCACACAGCTTGTAGGGAACATTGTCCATAATTGTAAGATGATGAATATTAATCTTCTTAAACGGTTTTAACATAAGATTGTAAACAAATTTTCTAGCTGCTGTTTTGGAAAGAATTCTGGCAGTGCCCATGATTATACAGATATTCAGAGGAAGCAGATATTAAAACTCAAGCTGTTTATTTTTCAACGCAGCTATATGGGGATATATCTTGTTCAAACGATATTAATGGTATTTTAATTTGAGGTTTGTAACAGAATAATCTACAAAAAGATAATTTTTCATGCTGAAAATGGTTACATAACTTAATTCTTTGGTTTATCGTCATCAGTTAGCATTCAAGGATTTGGACCACTCCTTGACCCACTCTAACCTTATTTTTCCAATGATCTCTTCAAATGCCTTCCTTGGTTTCTTGTTCAATGTATCCATATGCATCCGTGCATATGTATGAACACCATTTGACATAATGCTATTATTCATTTAAGAATAAAGTCATATGTTGCTCATTTATCCAGCATATTACTATATATTAATGGAGTCATTCTATTTATTCAGCAGGACTCATTAACAGGTTTAATTTAACTATCTTTCAATAAATTCAAATGAATATAATCAAAAGATTGACAAAGTATAACCCCCACAGCAGAGTGTAAGAATGACTGCTTTCCTAGATAGGATATAGGTATAGGCCTATATCATACACACAGAAATGAATCATGCTTAAAAATAGGCAACATCTGTGCAAATAGAAACGTTCAATTTTACATTTTTGTCATTTGGAAGTCATATGTATGTAATGCATTTATTTATTGCATTTCCATTGCCAATAGCAAAATAGTTCATGGTTCTTACAATGAAGCTTCATAAGAATGCTACAAACTGTGACACTGTCCAAGTTGATTTCTTTAGAAATTTTAGTTATTTGTACCATTTAATTTTTTCCATTTCATCCTCACTGTTTCCTCCATAACTATGCTTAAGCTTGGGTAGCAGAAAATTGAATCTTTTCTTTGTGGATTTATTTTTACAATATGCACTTCCTTCCAAAATTTTCCCATTTCATTAATCATTAATCATCCTATCCAGTGGTATATAGTCTTGATATTAACATCATTGTTAAATAATTAACTTAAATAAATGAATGGTAGAGATACTGTATTGTACATCATGTTCACTTTGTATGTCATTAATATAAAATATAAGGTTCATCAAAAATGTTTCAGGTAAGATTTTTAAGCCTGCATCTTACTGAGATGTATAATTTATTCCATGTGCATTTTATTCATGATGAGCTGTTTTTGAGAAATTTATAAAGTCCAGTTTTATTGTCTTGTACAGCAGATATATGCAGTCAGAGTGCCCAACTTTGCTTGGTCCTGACACACACTAATTTCTGTTTTAATTTTATACATTTTTTCTCTTTGTATGAATGTACTTGTATACAGTCAGATTCTTTGACAAAATAGAACATTCCTTGTAAATTCACTGCCATCTTGAATTTATACACACCACTTTCTTTGAATGGACTACATTTTACAGTGCCGCATTTTTATACATTTGGTGGTTCTGAATGTGCAAATTATATTTGTGCTTGTAGAATATTCAGCCTGACACCTGACAAATCCATCCTTGTGCTTTACATTGATATTGTGCAGACAAATTCTTGTGTTTAGTACTGGAGTAACAAGTAAATGTAATTTTTAAACTATCAACATAGTTTCAGTTTAAGATTGAGAATTTCAGCTGATTGATCAGAAAAATTAGAACAGGGATTTATATTTACAGATTGATGATTTTCATGCTGTTTTATGGCAGTGTTTCAGTTTCATGTATTATGTGAATGAGAGGGAAGTTAACATTATGTCTGAATCAGCATATACAAGAATTTTGGAGAAGATTATTGTCATCTGTATGACATATATTCTTGTGGAGACTGAGGACTGTGAAGGCATAAGTAGCCTGATGGAGATTCAAACCTGGAACCTCCTATAGCATTCCTGTTACACTGACTTGTTCGCTGGTTATTTTGTTACATATTCTCTCACTTCACAAGGTTGCTTATTATTTGTTGAGAAGTAAGGAAAAGAAAGGAAAGATACAAAGAGAGAAATAAAGATTGTGTGAAAAAATGTGGTGTTCCTCAATAAAATATGCAATTGGTGACTGTGAGCAATCATAAAATAAAATAAAATGTAAATTATATAAATGCTGAATAAGTTTAGGAACTATGAAATATTACATCACTGTTGCCATTCATTCAGCTTACAGCTTAAGGCGACATCTGATCTAGTCACATGCTTCAGTCAGCTTCAATAAAAATCTTTTGCCCTCCCCACATTCTCTGTATATTTACAGTAATTCTGCTATATCCCATTCAGTGCTGCATAACCTTAGCAGTAGCAAGCAGCGTGAAATGGTGAGCAGAGAATTTTCAAGGGGAGGGGGATATCGTGGTCTACATGCGGTGCCATCTTGGCATTCACACAGAATGATGAAGGAAAAAGATGAAATACCTTACAAATGTCCACATTTCTAGCCAAGACTCGAACTGAATACCTCCCAGACAAAAGTCAGCCTTGTTGTCACATGATGGGCGTTGATAGGTGAGAGTCTTGGTAGGAACTGAAGTAATAACAATTCCATAATTCTGAAGAAATTGTATTACAGCCAATGTGCAAAAGATGTATTAAAAGTTTGAAGTTGAGGCTCTCCCCATGGTGGCTATGATGACTTCTGTCTTATGGGATATAAGGCCATGTAGTCCAATGAAAGTGAACCAAAGTTTTTGAGGAACATATCACTTCTATCATCAGGTTTGAGGAGTAATCCAAGCAAGAAACCAGCACAAAGCAGGCAGCAAGCAGTTGATTGGCTTATTCTCCAACACTGAAGATGGAGAGAGTATGTTCCTCTGAAACTTTCGTTGACTTTCACTGTGATACATCTTTGTATCCATTCTTATACAAGATCCCTTTGCAATTAAATATTTTCATAGGCGCTAAGTTTTCAGGTTACATCCTTCTCCACCACTGAAAGAAGGGGGAGAGAGGAACAGATTTTGCTATTGAGTTCATTCATACAAGAATTGACAACCATTACAATTTTGATGATTGGGTAGTTAGCATGATGCTGCCCAAAGCAAAGGCAATTATCTAAAAATTCATGAAATTCTAGACTAAAAAATTGACGTTTGAATAAAAATATTTTTTCTCTATTTGGTCTCAAGAATTCAAGCCTAGTGTATTTTATGTGGTTCTGTCAACCAGTATATCAGTGGTGAGAAACTCTTTTCACTTCATGAGCCCACTTTGAAGGGCTCATAAACCTGATAATATAAGGTGGCATGTAGACCTGCTATTAGACAACGATCATGAAATAAGAAACTATACAACAACCATTGTAGTTAATGGCTGTGTGAACAATGATTATTACTAGGAAGATTCTGGTAACAACAACAGAGGAACAGAGTTACATTTTGAAGTCCTACGGGCCATATGTTGTCACCAGTATTATGAACCAAAGATACTGAGAACCTCGGTGTATAAACTCAGTATTTTCTAGGTCAGTGTAGTACATAATTATTGAAATCAACTGAAAGACTCTGAACTTGTACAGTAATATTTGTTAAGGCTGATACAATCAGCACATTGTGACCAGATCTGTTAGAATATTTTAAATGTTTGTAAATTTAATACTATTGAATGTGTTCCTGGAATGATACTGTTGTTCATTTTTAACTAAAATTACTGAAAATTCCATAAAGAGAATTAATAATGGTTTAAAGGTAAATTGCAAATCTTACAACAGAGAAAGCAAATTTTTCACAGATGTTTCACTGTTTTGCATGTGAAGTATTGTATGAAGTATGGTGCATGTAGGGCATTGACTTTGTGGGATTTAATATCATTCCATTATAGCATGGAGCAATTCTCCTGTCCTGTAAGGG